GCAGGATTCGTTACCGTGCCCTCCGAAAAAAAAAGAAAAAGAGTTGTTATTTTAGACTATATAGCGAAAGAGAAAAATAAATAGCGGAAATATACCAAACGTCATGGTTGAAATGAAGAAAGTTAGCACAATTTAGCATTACACGAGTGTTTTTTCCCAATTCCTCTTCATGTTTCATGAACCATATATAGAAAGGTCATTTAGTCCAATAAGTAGGAATCATACTGCATATGATTTGAAAATATTGCGCTGTGTACTATTTATAACTTTCAATGGACTGTGACTTATTATTCAGTTCTCTCTCTCTTTCTTTATTCAATTTTTAGGAAAATCGGCAGACAGAACGAGGAAACCCTCTTAGATTTTGTTCACAAGGAGAATCCGAACGAAGATTGGTTGTATTGTAAGCCTGGTTTAAATAACTTAATCCTTTATCACTTACAGTCTGCAAGCTAAGCGATACCAAGTACAGATGACTGTATTTCTTAAATTCACCCTTTTACATCATAATATCAGTATGCATATTTTCCATACTGTTTCTGTGCAATTTCTCTGGCGCTGACAAGAAAAAATTTGTTTGACAATCAAAAGCTTCTTCAATTGGCGGTCATTTCAACGCTAATTTTTAATTTCTGAGCATCTTTTATCCTCCTCCCTCACCCCTCCCCTGCACCCCCCACCAAAAATTCCGTTTTTATTGTGGGAGTATGCGATATATAGTGTAAGTAATGTTTTAGCTCGCTCCTGAAAACATAGCTTCGATCGTCAACACCTTCCTAAATATCCTCTTAAACATCTTCCCAAAGAAGAAACTCACAAACTCACATTTTTGCTTCCAGTGGAAACAGAAGTTGGTACGAGACATCAGGAAGTGATACATTGGCACCTGAAGGCGGAAAGGTGAGTACAAACCGTAAAAAGAGGCCTTGCTATGATGGCGTAATAGGAGCGAGTAAAGGGATGATCGTTTCGATTATTTAAGCAAGATCTTTTTATATTTCACTGACAGCATAAGTCAAACATCTAGCTGTAGAGTCCAAATCATAGTTTTCACAAAGAAAGCAATGAAATACTTCCCTCTTTCAAATTTCGGGAAAATGATAGAGATTGTTTTTTTGTTCACTTTAGTTGATAAAATGATAATGACCACCAGTTTTCCGATAAACCGAGATGATGCCGTAATGGTACGAAAATTATCCATCAGTAGATTTTTTGATGAAAATCAACTAGCTAACACACAAGAGGAAAAAAACATTTTATTTTGTTTGTTAGCTTGTAGAAAGCACTAACCAAGAATTCCTCTTGACCCTGTTGGCATTGCTGAGCCTCTTGGTTGTGTTTGTATGGCTATCATGTTGTCAGTGCGAGATGAAAATCTGAAACTTCAAACGTACATGTTATCAAAAAAAATATCATGGAATAGAGAATTTTAGTCGTGTTGGGTAGAAAACATCTTAACTTCCAAACCAGGAGCCTAAAACAGATGACAAGTTAGATTAAGGATAACTGTTGTAAACTGAATAATTAGTTAGGCGAGATGTACATAAAAGCAAACACATAGATTTGAGTGCAATAGTAATAAACCGAATTTTAATAATAGCTGAGCCATGAAAAGGGGCTGTGTGCATCATTTAGAGACATAATACAACATTTTTTCAGTCATGGGTAAATTAGATTCCCCACAGGTTCTTCTCTTCTTTGATATTCCATCCTGTAGTTCCTATTTTCGACTTTTTATGAAGTAAAAGTTCCCCCTTCAGTTAGTTGCAATTTGGCAGTTGACAGCTCTGTCATATCCATTGTTAGTTGTGCAAAGTATTGAGTCATTTTGCCTCCTTTCGTTAATGTTGAAGATAAAGATCGACTTTGAGCAGGACCTCTATTGTAAGATATTTCGCAGTTGTAGGTTTTCAGAGCTTAATGTCAACATGAACTCAAAATAAAGGAGTGCAAACATCAAGTACTATTTCTTTTCCCCGGTAACCTTGTCGCCGTCTCGGTTTTGTTAGAAGGATTTCGTGTATTTCTTAGAAAGCGTTTTCAAGAAAACAGCGGCAAAATATTTGGCTTTATAACAGATTTATGTTTTATATAGTTATCTTGGAACAATTGCAAGAAAGAAGACTTGTAAACACCTGACAGCTTGGTGCAAATACTTGGAAAATTAAAAAAAATTCTGGGAATTGGAGTAAAAGCCGTCTTCTGTATTTTCCCTGCTCTGTATTTCGGTCTCTGTTGACTATCTGTGCCAGTGTCCATCACTCGCATGAAAACAGATCGAATGGCAGCAATATAATCAAAGTTTGTTTAGCCTCCTGGCAAGTTCATCTCACTCTCAAAATAAAATCAAGTCTAACATTTCGGTTCGTTTACCTTCGTAACAATAAAGAAATTATGTTCAGAAATAAGGCTTTTTCGCGTGCCTCGTTCTAAAACAGAGGCCCCGAGTTTCTCGGAAAGAGCAATTAGGCATGCATAATCTCGACTTCACTTTCGTGACGGCATGGTGAAGCACCAGTCTTCCTCAAGGCCTATCCCGTGCCTCTCTCTTCTCTGTTTGACTCCTTACCCTTTCCCTCTCCTCCCAGCTTGTCAAATTCACTCGATAGACCAGCCGCAATCGTGCATCAATGTTAGGTTTGTTCAAGTTCCATTTCGCTTCAGCAGGGACACTACTGAGCTGCTGGAAGATTTCTATTCTACAGAAAGGTGACCTGGTTATGAGTAAAATGATTTGACCTCATATATGTGGGTGAGCTCAGGGAAAAAACCGTGCTATTATCAAGAAATGCAAATTCAGTCCTGCTTGAAATCACTTCAGTGAACATGTCAGTTAAAAATAACATGACTAAATGAAACAACTGTGTTTCCTTAAAGCGATTTTTAGATTCCCAAATCGATTACACAGACCATTCGCAAACTTAATTCACTTAACATTCGCTTCACTCTTTCTCAATTCTTCATGAGTCGGTGACATTGCACACCTCCTAAGAACGAAGTAGAATGCAAAAAAAAAACAAAACAAAACAAATAGTCATAGCGCATAGCAACTTGGTACCAAACTAAGAAAGTGGATTACAATGTCTTATCCCATGTATAGTTCCTTCAATTTCAATACCTTTTGGCCGATAGTAGCCATCGAATGAAGAATTAGCAGGAAAACTTTGTCGTAAGGAAACGATAACACTTACATACTGTGACATAATCCGTTGATCTGTCTAGCTACGCCATTCTGCAATCGAGGAATTTTCTAGGTAACCAATGAATTGTCTCTCGCTGTTGTGACTGGCATTTATTGACAGCAATTTATTCTTTAGTTCATCAAGAAAGATGCAAGCCTGGGCACATTTTCGCCCTCTGACGCATTTAAAATTCTAGACTTGAGTGACCTCTATTCTGCTTTTAAGAAACATTTTCGCTTCTCTGAAAGACTTACGCTGCGGTCAAATACCTCTTGTGAGTAAACAAAGCTTCACATCAGTGGCTCAAGAACGCTTCGAAAAGCGCAAATTTCACAGATGACGTCATCATTACAGAAAGATTAAGTGCCGATTGGGAGGGAATTTCCCAAATGCGCTGCAGAATTATCAAGGTTGCATGCATGAAATTTTCTCAACAGCGTATTGCTATTAAGACCGCTAAGGTAAACGACGAAATTTCACCAACGTCAATTTGCTGTAACAGTCATTTTCTTGAGCCACAAAGGGAAGACTATAACAGATTTTATTGACTGTAAGTACAAGAAAGCAACCTGTGGTCCCTTGGCTAAATTGTTTCACGAAGAAAGGACTCGAAAGATTTTGAAGCGTAGCGAAGTGAACTGAACTCTACCAAGGGTCATGAACACAACGAAGATTGCGAAGACGGAAACGTTTCGCGATGACGTTCAGAGAGTCAATTTTATGATCACCGCTTAAGAGGGACAAGGTTTTCGGTCCAAATGTATATTATAGGCAGCTCTATCGACGCCAGGGAGCGCATTTTGCGCGAAGACTTTAACATACCAGTAATAAACGGAAACAGCAGCACCCATGGAAAAACGCCAGTCACAGCTACAGTGGAAAAGCCTTGTTTTGAACCTTACCACTTTGGCGCCAAAATATTTCGGTCCGCCATATTAGATGTCGTACACCAGGTGGTCGCTGCCAATGAAATTCAGATGAGAGGCTGCTTTGCCGAACTTGAAAACGAAACCAGCCCCTTCGAAGACTCAGTGCTTGTTGCACGTTTCGATCTCTCTCTAGTCTCCAAACGTGCGGTAAGTTGGAATTTTACTATCTTTGTGACATTTTCTTCATAAACATAATGTCTTCCTTCAATTTCACGTAAAGCACAAAAAAAATAAAAAGACTTACACGTGGCTTTGTCGTGTGTAAGAATACTCCCGTATAAGCATGGCTTTCTGAGTAAAACCCAGCTAAATACCAAGACCTTATTTGTTTCAAAACCGTGGCGAATCAAATTTGATGAAAGAAACGGATGTTTTCCTTTTGTAAAACATCAAAATTAAGGATCTCGTGTGGTCTTCGAGTCTATTCACTGACGTGTTTTACAACGGCTTGCTATCACACTGTATTACGTCTCCACTAGGTAACTCTAGTGGTTCTGTTCCTACAATTTTTATCTACTACGTTTCTCACCGCCACCTCATAAGTGTTCTTTTATCTTTTTAAGCCTTTCTGTTGGAAAAGTCAGGACTCAAACCGTACCGAATATTTAGGAAATAACTGCGCGTAAGTACAAAGCTTTTACATCAAAATACTAATCAGGATTTTCTAGCAGTTTTTTTTCTCTGGTTATTTTCGATTTTTGATTCTTAAAAGGTCAGGCAAGTGCTTCTGTTACCTTTCATGTCTTAATTTGTGATTTTATTTTTTAATTCTTAACCATTATAAAACGAGGATGAGTCCCCTCTCTTCACGCTGATGTGTCTGTATCTAAACTCGTCAACGCTCACGGATTTGTTGATGTCCCCATGCTCTAGCTTTACACCCAAAACAGCTCATCAAAGTATTACAATATAGCTAAAAAGTTGTTGACTTCTGCAACAAACAAAAATCTGAAAAACAAAATCAGGTAAATCTATTCAGTGTCACATAACACGTGAAGAAAATCGAGTGAAGGTGCTGAATACATTTCAGGATCCCTTTTCCTTTTTCGGTTTCCATTCGCCTTCAGTGTTCCACGATACTCACACTTTTAGAAGTTTGCCTCAGTTAAACTGAGAGAAAACGAAAAATACAAAAACACAAGAAAAGGAGAAAAGTCGGGCACATGAGCTACACTAGCCTCAAACAAAATTCAAAATATCATGGCTCAACCGGGCCACGAAGTTCACATTGTCTGGCAGGCATGAGTGAAGAGCGATTCCTTAAGCGATCGCTGAGCACCATGTGTAAGTCCACTTCGTCTAATCTCGTTACATGATCAAGAGCCAATGAGAGGAGAAAGGGACAAACACTATAAATTATGGTGATAAAATACTGTTAAGCACACCGTTTTGTATTCGATGTAGGATCAAGAAAGATGGCAGCCCAGCAATTGCAGATGGTCTATAGATCCCTCTTTCCATTGGGTGGAATCACAACTGG